GAGAGTGTTCCACTACACATTGTGTGAGTGAAGTTTAGTGTGATAGAAAGTGTGTGTCCTACTTTCTTGTATCCATCAAGCCTTGTCTTTGGCTTGGTAAGACTACTCTTGTTGTACTCATCTTTTTCATATAGTGAAGATTGATCCTTGTTTGGTGGACGTAGGCATAAATTGCCGAACCACATAAATTCTTGGTGTCCATTTTCTACTTTACCTTGTGCATTCTCTATCTTGTAGTACCGACATTCCTAACAAGTGGTATCAGAGCCCGGTTGGCTCGTACTACGGGATGGAAGGAAGTGGCACTATGATCAAACTCACCAACTCCAATTGGGTAACATGGAAGCCAAGGATGGAGGACATTCTCTATTGCAAGGATCTGCATGAGCCAATTGAAGGAGATGCCGCTAAGCCAGAGAGCATGTCCGATGCCGAGTGGAAGAAGATGAATCGCAAGGCTATTGGCACAATTAGACAATGGGTGGACGATAGTGTTTTTCACCATGTGTCTAATGAAACCAATGCTCGCGAGTTTTGGACGAAGCTTGAGTCCTTGTTCGAGAAGAAGACCCCAGCCAAGAAAGCCTTCTTGATCAAAGAGCTCATCAATGTGAAGTACAAGGATGGTTTAAGTGTAGCAGAACACTTGAACAATTTCCAGAATATCATCAACCAGTTGGCTACTATGAAAATGACGATCGAGGACGAGCTACAAGCGCTCTTGTTACTTGGATCCTTGCCAGACAGTTGGGAGACCTTTGTGGTGAGTATAAGTAACTCTGCTTCTAATGGTGTTCTTACTCTTGATAATGTTAAAAATAACATGCTCAATGAAGAAACAAGGAGAAAGACTTCTGGCACAGATAGCAGCCAAGTATTTGTCACAGAGAACCGCGGAAGAAGCAAGAGTAGAGGGCCTAGAGGTCATGGCAGGAGTCCTAGCCGATCCAAGTCAAGGTTCAGGGGTGCATGCCACCATTGTGGCAAAGAAGGCCATATGAAGAAAAATTGTCGAGTTTGGAAGAGAGAGCAAAGGGAAGGAAACAATCAGAAGAAAGATGATACTGGCAATACCACCGCTGTCATATGTGGTGATGTACCAGAAAATATTGTCTGTTGGTGAATGTCTGCATATGGGCAACTCTGACAGAGACATTGAATGGATCTTTGATAATGGAGCTTCCTTCCATGCTACGTCCAAACGGGAGTTCTTCAGTACATACAAAGAAGGTGACTTTGGCATAGTGAAGATGGGGAATGAAAGCTATTCCAAAATTCTTGGAATTGGTGATATATGTCTAAGAACTAATCTCGGCTGCCAATTGATGTTGAAAGATGTGAGACATATTCCTGATATACGTCTCAATCTGATATCCATCGGTACCCTTGATCGACAAGGATATTATCACCATATTGGCGAAGGAAAATTGAAGCTTACTAAAGGCTTAATGGTGGTAGCAAGAGCACGACTTTGTTGTACGTTGTACCGGTCAAATGCCAAGGTTTTGAAAGGTGAGTTGAATGCTGTGGAGGACTCATCTCTAGACTTGTGGCATAAGAGGCTAGGTCACATGAGCGAGAAAGGCCTACAGGTTTTGGCAAAGAAGTCTCACATTCCTTTTGCCAAAGGTACGTCGTTAAACTCTTTGTGAGCATTGTTTATTCGGAAAACAAAAGAAGAGTTAGTTTTTCTGTTCCATCTACAAAGAAAGGAAACTTGTTAGATCTTGTTTATTCAGATGTGTGTGGTCCCATGGAAGTCGAGTCACTTGGAAGAAATAAATATTTTGTTACTTATATTGATGATGTTTCACGAAGAAGGTGTGGGTGTATTTGTTGAAATCCAAAGACCAGGTGTTTCAGACATTCCAGGAGTTCCATGCCATGGTGGAGAGGGAAACTGGGAAACCTCTCAAGTGCCTTCGTAGCGACAACGGCGGCGAGTACACATCTCACCAGTTTAGAGAGTATTGTGTAAAACATGGCATACGTCATGAGAAGACAGTTCCTGGAACTCCACAACATAACGGTGTTGCTGAAAGAATGAACCGAACCATCATGGAGAAAGTCAGGTGTATGTTGAGGACTGCAAAGTTATCTAAGCAGTTCTGGGGTGAAGCTGTAAGGACAGCCTGCTATTTGATCAACCGATCTCCATCAGTACCATTAGGTCTTGATGTTCCAGAGAGAGTATGGACTGGTAATGATGTGTCTTACTCTCATCTGAAGGTGTTTGGTTGCAAAGCTTTTGTGCATGTGCCCAAAGAGCAGAGATCGAAGTTAGACTACAAAGCTACACCGTGCATCTTTCTTGGTTATGGCGGTGAAGATTTTGGTTACAGATTATGGGACCCATACCAGAAGAAGTTTATCCGAAGTAGAGACGTGGTCTTTTATGAAGAACAAACAATTGGGGATTCGGATAAAGAGGCACAACCAGATGGCACAGTCAGAGGAGTTGATCCATTAGCTTCAGATGAAGAAAGTCACGATGACATCCCTGAAGCAACTGCCAATGAAGTGCCTGCAGAATCAGATAATGCTAATCAAGAGGAGCCTGATCAAGATGTGCCAAACCATGAGATTGCTGATCAGGGGGAGCCTAGTCAAGAAGAGCAGATTCAAGGAGAACCCAATCAGGGGGAGCCTCCAGCCCTACAAGAGAATGAAGATCAGGTCAGAAGATCCATCAGAAGTCGAAGACCGTCTACCAAGTATTCTTCATCAGAGTATATATCATGTTGACTAATTATGGAGAGCCCGAAACATATATGAGGAGGCCAGAGCTCATAACGACAGTGACAAATGGATGAAGGCAATGGAGTCGGAGATGGATTCCTTATCAAAGAATGATACCTATGAGCTGGTGGAGCTTCCAAAGGGCAGGAAAGCATTGAAAAACAAGTGGGTGTTCAAATTGAAAAGAGACGACAACATGACAAGGTACAAGGCTCGTTTGGTTGTCAAAGGTTTTGGTCAAAAGAAAGGAGTTGACTTCGATGAGATTTTCTCACCGGTGGTGAAGATGACTTCCATTCGAGTTATCCTTATCCTTGGTATGGCAGCAAGTATGGATCTTGAGCTCGAGCAGTTAGATGTTAAAACTGCATTTCTCCACGGCAATTTAGAAGAGGAGATATACATGGAGCAACCCAAAGGCTTTGAAGTCAAAGGTAAAGAAAATTTTGGTGTGCAAGCTCAAGAAAAGCTTATATGGTCTTAAGCAGGCTCCGAGACAGTGGAATAAGAAGTTCAACTCATTCATGGTGAGTAATGGGTACAAGAGAACTCATGCTGACTCTTGTGTCTATATCAAACAATTTTCTGGAGGTAAATTCATCATCTTATTGCTTTATGTGTTGATGACATGTTGATTGTCGGACAAGATACCTCTATGATTAAAAAGCTCAAAAGAAGAGTTATCTAAGTCCTTTGACATGAAGGACTTAGGGCCAGCCAAGCAGATTTTGGGCATGGATATAATTCGTGACAGAAAATCCAAAAAGTTGTGGCTGTCACAAGAAAAGTATGTTGAACGGGTGCTTGAAAGGTTCAACATGAAAGCAGCCAAATCGGTAAGCTCACCTTTAGCCAATCATATCAAGTTGAGCAAAGAGTCATGTCCAAAAACATATGAAGAAAAGGAGAAAATGGCAGTTGTTCCCTACTCTTCAGCAGTAGGAAGTATCATGTATGCAATGGTGTGCACACGGCCAGATATTGCTCATGCAGTAGGTGTGGTGAGCAGGTTTCTCTCTAATCCAGGGAAGGACCACTGGGAAGCTGTTAAGTGGATTCTCAGATATTTGAAAGGGACTTCTAAGATGTGCTTGTGCTTTGGCGGTTCCAAACCAATCTTGGAAGGATTTACAGATGCTGACATGGGAGGTGACCTGGATGGTAGAAAATCTACGTCGTCTGGGTACTTGTTTACTTTTGCAGGGGGAGCCGTGTCTTGGCAATCCAAGTTACAAAAGTGCATTGCTTTGTCCACAACCGAGGCTGAATACATAGCCGCTACAGAAGCATGCAAGGAGTTGTTGTGGCTGAAACGGTTTCTCCAAGAGTTGGGTTTGAAGCAAAGTGATTATGGCGTTTATATTGTGATAGTCAGAGTGCTCTGGATTTGAGCAAGAACACTACATATCATTCACGCACTAAGCACATTGATATTCGTTATCACTGGATTAGAGACGCTATCGAGAAACAAGTTGCTACAGCTGAAGAAGATTCATACCGATAATAATTCTTCAGACATGTTGACAAAGGTAGTCACAAAATCAAAGTTGGAATTCTGCATTAAGGCTGCTGGGATGAACTCCAGGTAACTTGGAGTCATCATGATCGGAATTCCTCCCTCATGGACTGGAGGGGGAGATTGTTGGTATATGGTCCAGCCCATGATCAATGTTCTAGAATATTCTAGTAAGCAAGAGATGAGGCTGGAGCTTGCTAGACAATTCTAGCATGTTATTAAGTTGATGGAAGAAGCTAGAGAGAGTACTAGCTTCCTTGGTTGCAAATGGAAAGATCTAGAAGCTACAAGTATATGGCTAGTCTAGATTTTTCTATACTAGAGGTTTGAAGAAGGAACTAGAAACTAGTAGAATGCCAAGCCCTCACCTATAAATATGGGTGTGATGTAACAAATCAAGAGAGTAGTGAGTAGCAAAGGATCAAGTCCAAAGCTAGAGTTCCACTCCAAGAGTGAGAGTGAGAGTGTTCCACTACACATTGTGTGAGTGAAGTTTAGTGTGATAGAAAGTGTGTGTCCTACTTTCTTGTATCCATCAAGCCTTGTCTTTGGCTTGGTAAGACTACTCTTGTTGTACTCATCTTTTTCATATAGTGAAGATTGATCCTTGTTTGGTGGACGTAGGCATAAATTGCCGAACCACATAAATTCTTGGTGTCCATTTTCTACTTTACCTTGTGCATTCTCTATCTTGTAGTACCGACATTCCTAACATTAGGAACTCCACCCGGCGGAGAAGGCATTCCCAGGCGGGGAGGGGGCGGTCCCTCATCATCTGCGGTGGAGGCGCCATATATAGGCCTCTGCCCGAACTGCATCGGTTATGGGCCCGAGAACTGCTGTGGCATGCCCAGCCTAGCAAACTGCGGAGGCGGCACTCCAGGGGGGCGGGGCCCCGCGCCATCTGCGAATGCCCCTGCCCGGGGTAACCCATCTGAGCTGGAGGCCAAATCACTAGCGCAGCCGGATAAGTCATGGGAGACGCGAACATCTACGGTGGCTAGGAAATCTGAGACTACATCATCCCAAGAGCAGGTCCACCCACGCCGCGAACAGGACCGAAAAGTCCAGGCTACGCTTGGGCGAGAGGGGTTGTAGGAATACCTCTCCCAGCGACGCGGCCTATACTGGGATCGGCCAACGGGGCGGCGCTGGTAGCCTTGGTGCAGGATTCTTCCTGAGGAGGCGGGCCCTCGACGATCATGGAGACGACCTCCTCGCCGCGGAGGAGGACGAGGCCGAAGGTGCGGCTGTCATCCCAGTCCTCCTTCTTGTTGCCCTTGAGAAGGGGGAGATTGCGGAACTCCTCACAGTTGCCGAGGACAAGGTTCATGTGGCGGTCGAAGGCCATGAAGTTTCCGACGAGCTGGCGACCGTCCTGGATCGTGACCCGCATGCGGTAGTTTACGAATTGCAGCATCTTCGAGCTCTTCGACATCAACATTGTCGACGATGGAGTTCCAAAAAATCCCTACCGTGTGTGTGTACCCTTCTGGGTTCAGTTTGCAGGGTTTTTGAAATTCGATTAGAGCAATTCCATCCCTAAAAAATGAGATGACCCAAAGCCCATTTAATCCACTCAAATGAATAGTAATTGACTGTAATGAACAGTATTTGGTCAAGTGCATTGCCACCTTGAAAAATAAGCTGGGCAAGAGTTCAGTCAATTCGTATTAAAATATTATTAATTTTTTTATAAAATGATAAAAAACTAAATTTATTTTTAATTTTGGATAGAATTTTTAACTAATCTTGTTATGTCACATGTTATTTTTCGAAAATACAATTTTTGTGGTTGATGGTTAGGTATTTATATAAAAAAATAAAAAATAAATTCATTTTTTGCATTTTTAAACAATTTTTATAAAAAAAAATTATTAAGCCAATTAATCTGGACCGTTGGATTTCAAAAAGGTTGAAATCCAACAACTCAAAAGTGGACATGTGGCCCATGGTAAGATTCTCACTTTTTTTTAATGCAGGAACGCGCGCCCACGCTCCAGTCGCAAAAAAAGATTCAACTCGTGGCTGACGTCATGAGATAGCCCGATTCCTCCCTCAGTCCATTTTGGGTCGGCCAAGAAGCTAGGATGGACTTTGGGCCTGGCTATTTTGTCGGGTGGAGTGGGTTTTTGGGGGGTTAGGTTGTTTTGGGAGACTCTGTGCCAGCCTATTTGGGAGGGCTGGACTTGTTCTTAGGGACTATTTTAATGTTTTGGGCTTGGGCTTAGTTTTCTTCACAAACTTGAGCCCGTTTCTTATTCTGAAGTTTACTTACTTGATATTGAAATTATTATGATTCTTAATTCTCCGTGTTTAGGAAATATAAGGGTTAGTACGGATAAAATCTCAAAATTTTCGAGTGATTCCAAATTAATCTCAACATTTTAAAATGTTTCCAACAAGTATTTAATATCTTGAAATTTAGACATTTGTTAGATTACCGGTGTTAAGTAAGGACTTTGCCAGCACTATGTGATGACGTTACTATCATTAAATAATGAGTTGGATGAATACTGAAGTTGGTTTTCACCAATCACAATCTTTTGAACTCCGATAGGATTAAAAGCACACCATAAAGTAGCACACAAGTGTCCTATTGATTTTCCTTATTAACAATAAGATTTGTCAATTGTAGCCTATGAAAATAAGGGTCTTTCCCGCAGCAGATTGTTTTATCTAACTACTTAAAATGTCACAAAAACCGATTGATGTCCCTACTGACCAGCCACCGAAACATAATTATTAGACCGACTTACACTTATCTAAATTCTACGAAATTTTATATGCAGATACTAGACACAAAGAGCTACACTCACACAAATTTTTGGGATTTTTGGAGTTGATTTGCTATTTAAATTAAATCGAAGAAAAACAGGACAGAAACAGATATTAAGTAGTTCACAAATTAAGAAAAACGAGTTAGGGGTATTGCTATCCACCACCAAATAATCATGCAAACATGTTATCTTTCATTCAAATTTCTTTTATTTCCGGATGAAGATGCTCAAGTTGGCTCAATTTTAGAACTCAACCTATTACTCTTTCTTACGTAGTATGTTAAGAGAATGGCGTTTTCAACTTAACTTAGTTCCTAGCATGCAATCTAGAATGGCGTGTTCATAGATTTAACAAGAAGAAATCATTAAGAACGAAAAGAGTTTGAGTCATCACAAGGCATCGTAAGTACTAGTGTTGTCTTACTTATCCTATAAATTGGTTCACATGTTAATCGCAATTAACAAGTACTACTCTAGAACATATGTAGGTCCTCATTCAACAAGGGCAGGCACACACATATTCATAGCATTAGAATCCTAGATATGCTTACTAAGTATGCATCCATAGAAAACAAATAAAGAATTCATCAATGAGACAAGTAGTGAACCAATTTTCATCCATCATTCATAAAAGTAATTCAAACGAAATGTCATAACAACAACTTGCAATCATATTCGGGGCTTCAAAACAGCCCCTAACTTCTAAAAATTTAGTTACACATAGTTCTCAAATTAAACCAAAAGAAAGACATGAGTTTGAGAAGATAAAACCGAAAGAAGAGAATGCCAAGATTTCCTCCTTTCCTTCCTTCCAACGTAATTGCCTTGTCCTCTTTCTCCTTCCTTTTCTTTTTTTTTTTCTATCTTTTTCATAAAGTAATCTTCACATGATCAATTACGGTACAACCTTGTCACAATTTTTTCGTACTCAGACGTCGGAATTTATATAACAAAATCAAACTACTGCTAAAAAAGTGGTCTGGGATAGACATTACTAAATTCGTAACAGATCGGTATAATTCACGCGGATTGTATATTGCGACCGGGGAGAGGATTATACAGAGAGAACGGGTATGGAACCTTTCAGGCAAGGCCATATAATTGTGAGTAGGGAAAAGTGATTATTATCGCGCGCGCTTTTCTTTTCTGCTTACATATGGTGACCACAGGATCGTAGAGTATGCGCATTGTTCTACTTGTGTCTCTTACCCGTAGGATAGTAACTCCTTTGGTAGACTTTTGAGAGGTTGCTTAGGGTCTACTTAGTATTGATTTGACCGTCTAAGATATATTAGCAGAGACACAAAAAGACATTTCTACTAAGACCGTATCTGTTTGAATAGGACGTATATGGGTACCTTGGCGAGGGCTCTATATCCACTCACCCTATGGTCGATTCATTTGGCGTGAGGACGCGGGTTCCACTGAATGAGGTTAAGTGAAGAGATTGAGCGCGACAGGTGGTTATCTTTTCTTGCTCCCACTGACCCACATTCTACAGCCTCCACCTCCCATATTCTACATCGACTAGGGGAGCAAGATTAGAATTTCCTCGATACTTATACACTAAACCCATGACGATGAGGTTAGTCGAGATTCAGTAGCAAATATATGCAGCAGGAGGACTGGTTCAATAATCTTCACCAATAGAACGTGAACACTTAGACTCTTTCGTATATGGGACTAAGCTGGAAGTCCTATGCACAATGTACTAAGAATATGAACCACACAATCATTCACATGCGCCGTCATTGATTATAATATATGTTGCACGCACGTTTATCAGTTACTGTATTATAGCTCTAGAGATGTTAAGATGATAGGTAGCGAGCTAAATGGCTTGATCAATTGATAGTCGCTCTTTCTAAGCTCGCAGATCAGTGTATTTTGATGACTGGCAGTAAGTTAAAATTATGATTATTGAATGATTAATTTGGCACTGATTCAATAGAGTTAGCTAAGCCGACTTAACATCTTACACCCCTCACGAACTCCACGCATATTCCAAGTAGGAAACCTAAATCAGATGTTTTGAGAAAGACACGCCTTCCACAATCACCATTAGCCTTCGTGAGAAAGGAGATGGATTCCGAGTAAATGGATAAACGACACTATACCGCTTCGATGGCAGACACCAATCCGAATAGAGTAGCACCACATGCAGCACGGTTTTCATAGCGTCTCAGATGCATCAGTAATGTGCTTTCATTGGTTTCACACGCGGGACGAAATTTCTTAATTTTTAGTAGCGATTATGCTTTGAGTAGCGTCAAGCGTATTGAGATCCGTTGACATCTTATGCATCTAACCACAAAGTTCTGTGCAGTATATATTCTGCCCTATACGTAGGTTCTAGACCTTATGAGGTTGATGTAGTGATTTATTGATGTACTTGTTTTTCGAGAATCTCAAAACAGGACCACACTATCACTCTATACAAGAGTAGTAGGCTAGCAGAGGAGATGGGTTGTCTATATGTCTATAGTATATTGGCCTATAAGCCACAATAAACTCCACCCACAAGAGACCAAATCAGTCAAAATATCTATAATTAAGAGTAACAAATAAAGACCTCGAATAAATAGGTACCTACAGGTAGGAACTAGAACAAATAATGAGAAAAGATAACAAAAAGTGAAATATATAGTATGAACTAAATTGCAATGAAAAAGTGATTTAAATATAAGTAAAAAAATCATTAAAGAAGTGCTATGATATCACAAGACACTTGCTTCAGATTCCACTAAATCCAATCATTATCTTTTTTTCTCGAGTGATAATTATCTAGTCTTAATATTATATATGTATACTTTGTCCTTAGATGTGAAGAGACTGTTAAATTTTCGCATAGTAAATATAATTGTTACCATTGATTAGAGGAACTATAAGAGACAATCCATAGAATTGACAACATGAAAATTGAAAACAGAATTAATAATTTGATTACCCATCTATACCATAATGAACTAACACGTACATCGACAGACGCTATATATTAAACTTATTGTGCCTTATTTATTTTACACATAAAACTAAAGCTTAAAGTTATTGGAATGTTAAGTTTCAACAACAGTTAGATAAAGAAATCATTTTCTAAAGTGTAATTACTCCTCGGATAAAATTCGATCTAACAAAATGTAATCCTGCGCGCATCATAACGATCACAACATAAGATAGCAGGAGAGCGGTCGATTCCAACGGGCACTACTTACCCACCCACCCGGAATGACCTAGATTTCACTGGATCGAGACAACGAAGGAAATGTGAGAGAATTAAGGTGCTGAAATAAATGCTCTTAACCGTATTTGAGTCCAAGCTATGAGTAGATATAGTAGATAGAGAGAGCAGCATCACATACAGATGAAACCCCTAAGGAGGCGCGTTTCATCAACACTATGATTGCCTATACCTTGCATCAACCCTTAGAAATTACCAAGCTCGGTATCTATCGTAAGACGCCTACCGTAGCTTGGGAGGCCAAATGCTATTGCCTTAGATGAGAAAGATGAGACATTCGAGAGATGTTTCTGACACTCGATATCCATGCACTATATTACCTGAACTCAAATCCAGATATATCATTCTTATATACCCTATATATAGATACAAAATTCAAAAAACACTGCTACCAATAGAGCAGAATAGACAGGTGAATGATATACCCTTACAATTTTCGCGCTGATCATACTAAAACATTAATTCCACTTA